ATAAAGGCATACAAGGGCAGATATGACTTTTTCCCCTCTCCCATAACCGCTCAAGCATTAAGGGACCAAATTCTATTCGGTCCCTCATTCATCCGTTCGGCCGAAATAAGAGACGGAGGGAGAGGGCGAACAGGAGGCGACGCGAAGCTTGGGGCGGCGGTTTTGGCGGTGGGTTCAGGCAGCCAAACTTGGGGGAAAACATAGAGGAGACTAAGGGAAGACTAAGGTATATTGTAATGTAAGAATTTCTTCATTTATCATATAATTTTCCTAAGGAGAAATTTCTAGGCTTTCCAAAACTTAAAATTTTCTTTTAAGAAATTTATAGAGAAAGTTTGGGGAATGATTCTAAGAATAAAAAAAGAAATTTCCCAAAAATTTTGTGAGTTCGAAAAATTAGGGTTTACATATTTTTGGATTTTCAAGAAAATTCCCTTAATTATTGTTTTTCCAAAGGAACTTAGGGATGTTTTTAATGGTGGAAATTAAGTTTTTTTTTTCAAAAATTTTAATTTATAATTTTTAAATTAAATAAATCCAAAAATATTAAACCAAACGTATTAAATTAATAATGGGAGAATTTTGGCATGAAATTAGAATGAAATTAGTGAATTTATGATTTCCAAAATTTATGGTTTTGACTAAATCCAAAAATTTCTTTAATTATAATTTAAATAAGGAATTAGTGAGGGTTCAATTTGGTTAAAGTATGGATTTAGACGAATTAGAGGTTTAAAAATTAGGGATTTATTAAATCTGAAAATAGAAATTTAATTAATTATTTAATGAAAATGTATTATGATTAAAGCTTAGTAATAATGTTTGTATTTACATTAATACTTAGGTGCCGATTATAAAAGGACGCCTCGAGCATAAGCGACGTCGTTGAGGTTTACTATACTTGTGAGGTATGTATTCATACCTCTTTTAAGTTTATAAGTTTCTCTTTCATTAAATGTTAAAATTCTACATTCTTTATTATTTTATTTTAGTTAAATTACAAGTCATACTGCAATATGTATGTTCACTTTTAGAGTCAGTTGTGAACATGTAAAAATTTCAAAAGAACATTTGAGCATGAAACATTATTAGACAGACATATATGAATTCATGAATGATTTAATTTTCTTATATTAAGTATTAAATAATTGAATGTGCATGTTTATCCGGAGTACCAAATGGTAAATAGCTCTTTGGGGCAAATAGTAAAGGGCTCCTCGGAGCAAAATGATAAAGGACTCTTCGGAGTAAATGAAATATAACCTTTGGCCAAATTTGGATGTGTATTTGATCAGTACAAATTATTGGTACTTACGGGATGGGTGTATACAATTAAGACTGTATTCTATGTTTCTTTTCATATAAGAATGGTAAAGAAAAAGTTAAGAAAAGAAAATGAATTAAGGAAAGAGTTATAAGCATTCAAAATATTATGATTCCAAATGTTACATGGATTAGACATATTAAGACTTCTCGTGTTATTTAAGTCTTGTCATATGAACAGTTTACTACATAATATTTCTTCTTTCCTTGTATTATGAATTTAAATGAGATATTTATTACCTGTTAAGCGATAGCTCACCCCTGCTTGTGAGAATGTTTTTCAGGAGAACTTGTTAAGGATTAATGGCAGAGAGACCAGTTACTTACCAGCATAGAGCGGTTCAAGGAAGCAGGTTTTTATGGTTAATAGTTGTAATGTGTTAAATGTTGTGTTGTGGACTATTGCTGTGTTTCTTTTTATATTTTAAGACATGTTATATTTTGATGTATTAGAAATGTTTGTATTGGATGCTTAGTGGCTCTTTCTTATGTTGTTAATAGATATTTATTGAGTTGATGTTAATGATGAAAAGAATGTATTAAGTTTTTCTTTTAGTTTTGTTGTTACCGTACGCTGTCTGTTCCCACCCTGTTAATTCGGGCTAGGCGGGCCGGGTCATGACATTGTATGCTTGATTAACATTGATTGTAAGGGGCACCTTTATAATCACTGTGTCAAATCCCTCTATTTGTGGATGACAGGTGTATCGGATTAACATTGCCTGGTTGTCTATGGTTGAGATGTTGTTGCATTCACCCACATACTTTTTCTATGAACATCAACTAGCAGACTATTGTATTTGCTTGTGTATTGAGCTCACGACAAGTCTCTTATAATTGTCTGTAGGAACTTATATTCGTTATTAATTTCTTTCCATATGTTGATTGTGAGAGCACCTTTGTAAGCACTACCTACTGATCATCATGACATGCAAGGATCTGATACAGTTGTTTGCAATTTGAGATTGACTATGTGGGGGTTATTACACCTGTTGCATATTGCTTACTCATGTTTGTAGGGAGTCCATTTTATTTACAACAAGGTTGCCTTTCTTTGGTGGACCACTGTACTTGCAAGTTGACCAACTTTGATAGCAAGACTCCGTATAGATGACTATGTATTAATGCTAACCATGAGGTGCTAGTTGATATTCAATCAAATGATTCATAGCTTATATTGACATTTGCATTTCCAAGCTTGATTAAGCATTCAAAGTTCAGTTCCATGCTATTTGTTCAGGTTTGAATCCAACTACAGTCCCTTGCAATGCATTTGGAAATATTTTGTTATTCGAATCAAATTTGGCTCAAAGCATCTCAGTTTAGACTTGACTTCATGTAGTTCGTTAAAGTCCAAATCTCTTATGGTTCATTCAAATTCTGTGTCCAAATCGAATTCTTATGGATTGTTCAATTCGAATTAAGTATAGTTCAATGTCCTTTGATCGAGCCCGGACTCATTCCCATTATACTTGGTTAACTTGAGTTTGAGTTCTGACCTTATTATTTGATTCGACTTTGGTTCAAGCTTTAGTCCATTTAAGTTCAAGTTCTGCTTTGAACTAGAGTCCATGCTTAGTTCATTTAAGTTCTGTTTAAGTTCCCTGTGGTCCATACGAGTCCCTTGCTGCTCAAAAATTCAAGTCCTCTGTTCCTTTAGTCGAACTTTTGGCAACCTCCCGGCATCTCCACCATTTAGGGGAAACTACGATAAATTAGACCATCCCACCACGCTACAAGAGTGTGTATGGTTGGTGCCAGGTGACACCGTGTCCATTAAAGAGCGTGTATGGGGGCTCCAAAGTACCTGTTTAAAGAAGCAGTTGGCTTTCCCTGCCATGTCACAAGGGCGTGTACAAGTACTTAGGGACTCCCCACAATGCTACAAGAGCGTGTATAGGGCTTACCCGCCTCACCGTATGCATCACACCAGATTTCCTCCAACCGTGCTATAGAAGCGCGTATAGGTGGTCCTCTGGCTCGAAACAAACCCTGAGCGAGGATTTGAGTTGGAAAGTTATACCTTTGAATGTCGACAACGGGAATGATGGTGTATGTGCACAAAAGCAAAACACATTTCTTTTTCTCCTTCTCTTTTCTGATTTTTTTTTTCTTTTTTTATCACTTTCTTATTTTGGGAAATCTCCCCTCTTTCTTTTTTTACATATATATATAGTTATAGTTATAGTTAAATATATATTAAATGCGTATATATAGTTAATCATATATTAAATACATGTATATAAATATATACACAGATTAATACTTAAAACAAATTTATAACATATATATAAGAATATAAATTAATACTAATAATAATATTAGATAATAATAAATATTATTAATGTAAATCTAACCTAAACTACCTGATGGATTCGGCTGGGTCACAAAGAAGAGGCATCGGGTAGGAGGCGGCTTGCGACAGAGAGGGGAGGAAGCAAGGCTGGCTGGTTGGCTTCAGCTTGGGGGTAGTAGAGGTGTTGGCTTGCAATAGGGCTGGAGTCAGGAACAACGGCAGACGAGATGACAGGATGGGTCTAGCTAGGTCACCGATTTGGAGTGGTCGGAATGTTGACGAGGAAGGAAATGGTGTGAAGTAGGACGTCGGGCCTGGTTCAGTCAGTTTGTCGTCTTGCAGGCGTGGTGAGGTCAGAGGAAGATGGAAAGGTGAAGAAGAAGTTTGGAATTTGAAGGAGACTTGGTTTGGTTAGAGGCGGAGAAGAGGTCGACGGGATCTCTTAACAGAAAGGTGTTCAGAGCTTGCGACAAGGAAGGGTTGGTTGGTCAGGTATAGGGATCAACGACTTTGAGGAAGTTGGCTTTGAGGAGGAAGATGCTTGGGAAGCTTTTTGGTCGGACAGGGAGACGGAGGTTGGTCGCGGCTTGTTAATTGAAAAAGGAGGTCGGGTATGCAGGACGTGCACGAGAGCTGCGGGAGAGGAACGAACAGCTCAACCTCATTCTCATTTTAACGGAGAGGGCAAAGCTTGTCGAGGCGAGAGTTGCAGGATTTATTGGATTTGATCGCTTCATCGGTGCATCCAGGATATGAGCAGAACCTCAACGGGTACGAGGTAAGCGATGTCTGAGTGGATTTTCTGTGATTTTGATGGATTTGAGCTGGGTTTTAGCTTCATATCCAGAGGTTAACAAATCTCTCATAAGGAGTATTCTTAACGCTAGAGGACTTGATGTCAATTGCCAATAGGTTTTCAACCTATGATCGAAGTTGAAGGAATAATTGATTAAAAATTTTGATGCTTTAATTAGATATTTATGTTTAAGGAATATTAAAAGATAAGTTCCTTTTATATTATTGTATTAGGGTTTATTTCTTATCTATTTTTTGTTATTTTATTTGGTTATAACTCCTTTCATTATAAATAAGACCTCTAGGGTAAATTATTTTTTAATGAAATATTTTGTTTTGAGGCACCGCGTTCTCTACATCCCTCCATCTCCATATCAGTGATCCTTCTTATTTTTATGGGTTTTTCCTTTTCCTTATTATTTAGAGCTGGCAAGTTAATTGTAGCATTGTTCAAAACCCCTACAACTGTAGATTATAAATGATGGTAGATTTAAAAATCCTCTTCTGAGATCTATGACGATCATCTCCACAGCATAAATTAGCGGCTAGGAAAAGAGTGACTAAATGAATGAATGTTTAAACTTACAGTTAGCATGCTTTCCTTTGTAAGAGGTGAAAATGCCCACCTGTAACAATATACATCCAATCAAATTAGCAAAAAGATGCAAGATGCTATTTTACCAAAGCAATGCTATGCTTATCCAGACCAAATCCGCAATTAAAAGCCTGCAACACCACCACACCATTATCCACGTGTCTTTAATTTATCCCACTACTACAATTTTTTCTAATTTTGGTATTGCTTGAGATCTCATATTTTTAATATATCTACAGATCAATTCGATGAAACATAAGGTAATTTAGGTATAAATCAAAAATTTAGTTTGTAAATAACTTATTTTACTTAACCTACTTAAGGCAAATAGAATAGTTAAAAAATAATAATAATAAAAAAAATAAAAAAAAAATAAAAAAAAATAGAATAGTTGATACAAGAATTAATTAACATAAAGTATAAACAACTTCTATAAACCTAAAAATGAATAAGATAGAAATATATTAGTTTGTAAAATTAAGTACAATGGATTCAATAAGTATCGTCTCAACAGCCAAATGCAATGATTTTACTATAGCTTTATTTGGGGACTGAAACATTATTTATTCCAGTATACAACAACAACATCAAGCCTTTATCCCACTATGTGGGGTCGGCTACATGAATCCTTTTTCTCCATTATGTCCTATTAAAAGTCAAATTCTCGTTTAAATCTAATAAAGAAAGGTCATTCCTAATATTTTCTAACCAAATCTTTTTAGGTCTACCCCTACCTTTATTATTATTTATTCCAGTATATTTTAATAAAATTAATCGTGAAGAAATGACTTTATTCTCATGATGGTAAGTTTTATTCCGTTTACTAGTAACAATTTATATTAAGATTTTTTTAGATAGATCCATAAAGCAAACATTAACTAAGATAAATGGAGAATTTCACGTACCCTGTGCCTCGACCATTTCCATTTTCAGCAAATGGATCAAAATTCTCTACTGTGTCCTATGTACAGAAGGGTGAGCTCTGTTACATCTTCAAAAATATTTAAGGTGATTGCATTGTTTAATTATCTTACCCTAAGGCCGCCCGTCTTGTGTACAACTGGCACAGTTGCATATCTCATGGCATACAACTGATTTAGTCCGCAAGGTTCAAATCTTGATGGCATCAGTAACATATCACACCTGTTTGTTAGTTAGTTACAGATGTTACATCATTTCACCTTCATTAGCATTTAGTTTTGCATAGAAACAATTTTCCTACCCAGCAGTTATCCTGTGAGAAACTGGAATATTAAATCCAACCCATCCTCGAAACTTTTCTTTGTAGTTGAACTCTGTTGATCTCATCCAGTTTTCAGTTTGACGGTCTCCAGAGCCAAGCATAACCTATTTCAAAAAGAACAATAACTGAGACAATGGAGGAAACAAGAATGGAGCTTCAAGTAATTAGTTTGGAAGTTCTACTTTTGTTGATTTTACTTTCAAAACAATGCAAAAAATCAAATAAATATGCATATCATAGAAAAACAAAAATATTGCAATCACATAAATTAAAAGATGCGTATACCAACAGTTTCTGTGATACACTCAAAATGACATGGATCGAAACAGGCTTATGTTGACGAATATTTTCGCATCGACTCGACCCCA